ACAAGCCTTCCCGAGCGGCGACGGGGCCCAGCGGCGACGGCGGCAACGGGTGGCCACAAGCCAGCCAGAACGGCACTGGGGCCCAATTACCGTAGTAGGAAGTAGAACACCCAAACGCAAGCACTTTTTAAGGAAGTAGAGAGAGAGAGAGAGAGAGGGAGAGTGAGAGAGAGAGAGAGAGCGGGTACATGTGCTATTGTGCGCGCGGCAGGCAACATGTGTGCGCTCACATCCGCAAGCGTTCGCAACCTGGTTGACTGTCCACGAGACAGCAGGAAGTATGTCGCCGAGGCTGCTGGCGGGTGGGGGCAGTACAATGTAGATCGTGGCAAGACATCGTCGTCCTCTTCGCCGCCTGAAGCTACGCCGTTGTGACAATCTCGCGAGAAAACGCTACCGGAGAGGGTCCGCCAGCACCCACAGCCACTTCGTCGCACAAGACCCGTAAGAGAAGCATCCTGGTGGTGGGCATGAGCAAAGGATGATGAATGAGGTGATCTCTGCTCTCTGCGCTCTGCTCTGTACCCTCACCGCGCCCTCCTTCCGATTGATCGCTTGCCTCTGCTCTCTGCCCCGTGCTCTCTGCGCCCGCGTCCCTGCGCGCGACGCTCCACTCTACTGTTGACTCGCCGCTCTCCGCTCTTTGCTTTCGAACCTCTGCAGTCTGCTCTGCAGCATCCTCGTGCAAAGGCTTCGAAGCCCCAAGACTCTGGCCGAAACAGAAACACCGAGGTCGCCTTCAACTCTGTAAGAACTGATCGGATGGCGGCATCCCTCGTGCCATGGCGACAGTAAGAAACAAGCTGAGAGGGGTAACGCCTTCTCTTCCCGCCGCAGCTCTTCCATCTGCCTCAGCGCGGCTTGCAGCGCGTCGTAGTCGTACTGCAACTTCTGCATGAGGACCTCACCGTCACCGCTGTTTCTTACGGGAGGCCGTGCTCATGGAGCCGATGCCTCATACAGGTGCTGAGTCTTCGGACTCTCCACCTCCAAAACCAGAGACTATTCAGGACTATTCAGAGCAGGCCAGCCAAATCTCCATGAGAACGATGGCTCCTGAGACACAAAGCAACCAGAGGCGACGAAGAACACGTATGAAGGGATACGGGTGATGACGCATTTGCTACACGCTTCCGTGAATCGCGGGCTCGTGCGACATGTCTTGTTCAGTTTCGTGCTTGATCATCGATGCGCTCAGCCCTTCTGGTGGTACCTCATGTGGGTATGGGGCATGCTGAGGCCTGCTTCAACTGCAGCTTCCCCCCCTGGAGGCGGGCATTATTGACAGCCTCCCTCCTCCTCAATCCTGCTGAGATTCTTGTTCCTCCGCCTTTCTCCTCCCCCTGTCCAGTCATTGCTCGTCGTGGTCGTCTCAAGATGCTCCTGCACCTACTGTGCGCATTCACTGGTCTTAGCTGCCCCGATACGCAGCACGCAACGCGTAGCGTGTTGATACAGAGCTCCACACGTAGACTGAAAAAGGTAGGTCTGACGCGACGCGCTCGCCAAAACGCGGGCCAATACGTTTAGCCAATACGCCACGCATCGACACGGACGTCGTGAGCACGGTGCGCGCTGAGTATCGAAACGGGCGCACCAAGGCAGCTAAAGTTCACGAGGCCTTTGTGGGGGGTAAATGGCGCACGGCACGGAGGCACACCGTGGCCCGCTGCAGGGCGGGCGTCGCGCCCTCAAGAACGGGTGCTGCGGCCGCACACTGGTGGCTGGCGGCCGTGGCCGTGAAACCACCTGCTGGGAAGAAGAGAGGGCAACACATCCACCCCAAAAAATAGCCACCCCGGCACGCGAAGCCGTTGACTAAACGCCCCCACTGAAGGAATCGAGCAGGGCAGGGCTGTTTAGTAGACGCCCCAGGCCGTTTCGTAAACGCCAATTGTCCGGTCCGGGTGTATTTTCCTCCCTTGAATGAAGAGAATGACATGAGCGTGTGGGTCGCATGGTACGCGTGTTGGCATGAGGCAACCGGGTCCTGAGGGGAAAGGCGTCCTGTGCTGGACCAAAGGACCGCCCCTCAAAATCACTGCTTCATCCCGAATTGGCTTTGGACGGTCCCAGGGCCTGGAGAAAGCCCCGGGGGCCTGGAGGAGGAGGAGGAGGAGGAGGAGGAGGAGGAGGAGGAGGAGGCGGCGGCGGCGGCGGCGATTCATGGCGAACGTTTGAAAAGATGGCGCGGGTATCTGTGGCCGTGGCGCTGCCATGCGCGGAAGCAACGCAGCAATTCTTCACTTGGTATACATACCCTGGGTTTCTCACTGAGCGTGGGGGGTACCCCCCCGACGGGGGTCAACCTCGCCTCGTCGTCGCGCTGCGACGGGGGTCGGAGCGCCTTCGGCGCGCGGTGGCTGCCCGCGACGCGTCGGTCGATGTGGGGATGTCGGCGGGGGTGATGCCCCCCCGACGCCTTTAAAGAAATTCGGAATACGTGCCGTGGGATGCGCAGGTGTCCTCGCGGTTTGAGTCCTGGAACGCCCTCAAAGAT